TCATACACACTTGGTGCTGGAATCTAGAATTTGGGTTGATTTTAATAAAGAGGTGGGTGAGGAAAACAGTTCTATGTTTTTAAAAAATATTTATTTAAAAATAAGATTTCTAAAAATACAGTACATAATACATTTCAAGAGAAGTAAAAATTCCACAATTTAAATTAAAAACAATCTGTAAAGAAAAACAGAAATATTACATGAATAAAAACTAAATCGCTAAAATTATTTTTAAAAAAAGACAGTGTTCTTAAGGTAGATACATGGTTTTTCATTTTAAGAACCAGTGGAGACTTTTCATTTAAAAAGTACATCTCAGATACACAGCTCCTGCTTGTCATAATCTTCCCTATTTTCAACCTAGTCTTGAATCTTTCAACTGTTATTTTCTTTTTTACCAATAGCACTAGAAATGTTAGTGAAGATTTTCTTTAAATGCTCTTGAGGGATCAGACAAGGTAAAACAGACAATGCAGCAGCAGAACAGTCCTCAGATTTAAACATATTCACTGAATGAAAAAAATACCTGCCATTTTTAAAAGCAGGATCTTTCTATGGCACTTGGAACACACCACCATTAAAAGGTGTTTTATTTTAGGGATAGAACACTACAGACAATTAGAGGTTGATACAAGTCCCCAAATATCACAGATTTTGCCCATTCATTAAACTTGCCAGTCAGATTTTTTAAAAACCTACTCTGGGGACACACAGCTCATACAAACATGGTCATCAGTGCTCAAGCCTCCCAAAGCCTACTGCCATCTGCCCACCCCACCCTGCCCCCATCATATTAGCCTAGCAACTCATTTATCTGAGTATCTCTGATAGTACAGGAGATTCTTCCTATCATAACATCTTAGTTGCTCCATTCTACCTGTGCTAAAGTAAAACTTCTTTTTAATATTTATCTCTGAACAACAAATTATGGCGAACTATCCACTAACAAAAACTTGAACAAGTAACTGCATTCAAGCACATTAATTGAAATAATACATAAACAAGTCAAAAAAAGCTCAGAACCAATATTGTAGCAACAGAATCTAGGAAATATATTGTTGACAATTAGAGAGAGACTATTGGTTCTTCCCATTTTGCTTACAAATTTTCCTTTAACCTCTAATGACATGTACATATGTATTTCTATGTATATTAGAATGATCCTAAGTTATATTTCATTTCAGTTTCAGACTTGATCCTTTTTTTCCATTCAGAAATCACTGCAAAACCATATATTGTATCTACATTCAAGGAGAGATTTTCAATTGATTGAAAATAATGCAAAATATTCTCAAATGTGATTGTCTACTTTTCCAATACACCAACAATGGTCTTCTTGCCAGAAATCTTACCATTTCAGTTGCAGTTTTAAAGACACTAAACAAGTGTCCTGAAAATTTGTGGAAAAAAAATAAGGAACCAGATTAGTGTACATAGCAGTACAACATTTGGACAATTACCAATATTTCTAAGGGTATTTTCTCACATTTTTTGTAAAATGAACCATTAAACAGAACTGGTTTTCAAAATAATCTTACTCTTTTTATGTACAATAAATAACATCCAGACCTCTTTTTTGTGTGTGTTTTGGTGAAGTTCAATTTTCTATTAATTATTTTGCTTAAATCAAGGTACATCAATCTGCATTTCCTCTTAGGAAAGTGTGTGTGTATGCGCGCGCACGCGCAAATGTGTGTACACATAAATTTCTTAAGGTGTTCTTTAATTGTATCTTTATTTGCAAAATACATAAATGGCAATAACATTCTTTAGTGCCACTAAGGGTCAGGTACACCTCCACCCCCACACAGACACAGATGCAGGATTCTCATAATCAGAATGGGCCCTTCACTTTTCATTTTAGCATATTGTTTCAGCATTCATTTAAAGGGCTCAATAAACTATATAGCTCATGTATAGAAATAAAAGGAGAGTTCTTATTATTTTTTCACTTACTCCTGTAGAAATAAAAACAACATAAAAAAATCTTGTGAAAAGTGTTCAATTATCTTTTCTAGCCTCAGCCTATTAAACTATCTTTTAAAGTAGCCAATCTATATTAAAATACAGAAATGAAAAACCATAGTCATATGCCTAACTACAAAAAAAATTCCAAATGAGAGACATTTAAAACCAATTAAACTGAGGCACAGCAGTGTGCAAAATCTAAGATGTGATCAAAATTGTTGTTAGGAACACTGTTCACAAGTCTCCATCAACCAAAAATTTAAAAAAAAAAAAAATTCACTCTTTGGTACAGGAATTACAAATGTCACTCAGTGCTAAAGTGAGTAGCACCAGGATGTTTTAGTTGTTGAGGTTGTAAAACACTAACTTCAGGCACCAGTAGGTTAAAATATCACCCGATGCATACTGGCAAGAATACAGAGCTTGCAATACACAGACAATCTTTTCTTTTAGTTAACCGCCTATGCAATTAAACCCTGTGCTTAGTCAAACAGGCAAGCAAAACCAGAAAAAGAGACCCCCTTTGTTGTTGCTGTTTCGTCCACATCTGTTTACACGTAAAGCTATCAATACCAAAAAGACTCAAGTGTTGAACGACTGTGGTAAGCACTATATTGCATGTTACAGCTATTCATAATACCAATAGGTTGGGTGGCCTTCCAGGGATCAAGAACTCCCAAACTTCAAAGTGAAAAATCATCCTTTACATAGAAATCGCTGATTTTCCCTCAGTGGCAAAATTTACTCACACACTTAGTATCCTTTCACTGCAATGGGAGGCTTGTAAAAAAGGACCTGTCTTTTCAAATTTGGGCAACCTATTCATTTCTCCCCTGTGTTCAACAGCTCTACCTTTCACATTACTCATAACACTTCAGGTGAGTATATGCTACATAATTGTGATATTTAAAATTTAAAATAATTTATCAAAAGCATCTGGCCAACTGATGAAATCAGCAATATAAATAAAATAACTCGAAACGCTTACATGCATTAGCAACTCTCACAGTAAAATGATATCAACAAGAGATGAGGATGAGGCTCAAATGATTGTAGCTGGGGGGAGGGGTTTCCTGGTGTCCCAGAGACTGCACCCAGTCAACCCTGCTGCCCAGATGCTGCTCATCCATGTCCCACTGGCCCTCCCTCCATCTTTGTAAATTCCCCTACTCTCTCCATCCAGTTCTGGCTGCCCTCTATTCACTTCTACCTGCCATCCATGGTAGACAAAGGGAAAAGGACATACGATGGTAAAAACATATATATAATAATAATGGAAAATACGGGCAATATCAAGAACTTAAGAACTGTAAGTTACACTGTTATTTCTGTTTCAAATCAGCACTAGCAGGAAGCATTACGACATCTGAAGAACAGACCAAAATGTAATGAATTTTGTTGCTAAAAATCCCACAATGAAAATGAAAGGAAACATCAGAGAAAACACTTTCCTGAAATTAAACCATCATTATCCCAAAGGCAGCAGAAATGCTAAATACTAGTTGATATGTAAAATAACATGAGTTCAAAATACTTTAAGCAAGTTGCTTTTATCACTTTCTCACATTCTAGTGTAGAATATTCTAGAATTCAAGTGAGAAGGGCTAAATTCAGAGCATAATGTAATTTTTGATTTCTAGATAAATTGAGGATAATTCTTAGAGTAGAAGGTAACAAATGTGGACATTAAATAATACACTCATTCAATTGTTAATTATATGGTTAACAACACTAGTAAGTAGAATAGTAAGTAGAGTAAGTAGAATATACTAAATGTACCAGACTAACTACATTTGCCAATATATTTCAAAAGCAAGAGTAGGCTGGGTAAAAAATCTAATACTTGTATTTATTAGTAAATTATTTAATGTTTGTAAGTATAAACTTTCCCAAATAAATTCTAGGTATATCTACATTTGTTAGAGATGATGTCAACAATTCATTTAATGAAGCAGCAACAGTTTAGTAAACTTGAGCTAGATAATCTATTCGTACATAAAGCACAAGGGAAGTAGTTAGAGACTAGAAAAAAGTTCAGGGACAGACCAGTAGCTCTGTTAACATTAATGCCGCTGTAAACCATGGCTGGACACACTGCAATTTTATAGCAACACATGTGAGAACAATCGAACTGCCCTCTCATCTAATACATAGAAAACTGTGTGGCCAAAATCTAAATTACTTCACATTTCCTGATTGGAAGTGTTATCCTAACCAAAGTCTTCATGATTCGCTTTCAGAAATAATATATCCTTTTGGGTGAAACACACCTTCAAGTAATTACTTTTATACAAGTGACTTGAAAAGGCCTGATGACGAATAGTTATAATTAGCCAGCATCCTTAGAGAAAAGTACCTCTAAGCATCAGCAAAAACTCACTGATGTTCAATCTACCAGAAGTTTTAACTTAGTTGTTAAACTAAACATTATGTATTGTGATGTGCTCTACTTCCATTATTATTAAAAGTCAACTATACTTTCTTCTGTTAAGAGTACCATCAACTAAAATGTTAAATATAGCTATCTCTTACACTAACCACAGATATTTTTAATACAACTCTTAGGCAAAATAGTATTTTTCTTATAACGGAACACCTTCACATATTTTAAAACTCCATGTCTTGGTTATGAAGTACTAAAAGCTCTTTAATTGCATGCCTACTGTTTAGGGGATCCTGAACTCAAGTCAATTTTTGCCTGCAATCTTGGGCCCATAAGCATGTTTGTTCACGGAAAAGAATAAATATAATCGTTCAAGAGGTGTAACTTAGAGTCTCTAGCTAAAAATATTTCATTTCCAGAAGCCCAACTACAAACTTCACTGGTATAAAGCATCCTTTAACATATATTTTGCTTAAAAATGAAAGGGAATGTTTATAAGGAAACAGACCATATCAGTAATCCCACTGATCATAACTATTTTCTGATGCTCAACATCATTACTTATTTACATCCAAAACACATAACACAATGATTACCAAAGCTAGAGCTATAACTCTGAATAAGATAATTAAAAAAGAATGCAGAAAGGTATAGAAAGAATTATTAATCTCTCATTTTTAATGCAGTAGAATCAATAAAAAAAGTCATTCCAAAACTGAAATAAAAAAAATAAATGTATCTTTTTTCGATATTGATTAAAACACATTAGGTATTTGCTTGCCAATGTAACTACAGTAAGTTTCTGTGTTTTGTAATAAATTGGTCATTTTAGGTAATGGCTTTCCCAATCCTAAGGACTTAATCTGCCCAAGTAAGATTTAAAATAAAATTCATGAAACAGTTTACATTTGTTTATCCTGATCTGACAGAAATTTCTAATTGAGAATAAAAAAATATAAGAATATACATAATGAAGCAAGGTAGTTATCACATTTATATGAGCTAGACATTGCCATCATAAACTGGAACAGACTGATTTTCATAGACTCTTACATTTTTGTACATACACTCCCCCTAAGCTCTGACATGTTCAGAATTAGGCTATACAACGAATTGCAAGGTAGTACATCTCTAGAGCCAGGATAATTATACCAATTAGCCAAAAGAGGGCGCAGACGGAACACAACTAGACTTCCTGCACTCCCTGGGAACCGGCTGGTTGGTTTCTTTCAAGTAGTGGCACAAGAATTACAAACCCAGTTAGGTGTGCTAACTTCGGAATACTGAAAGTTACAGCATACAGATATATAGATATGCTTTAATATATATTCTTATATAAATAGATCGATATAGAGCATTTCTGCCATTCAAACAAAATAAATATATGCCTTGCTTAGTGTATCAGTTTGTATCCCAGTAACTTAGAAGAGTAAGGTGGCAGGATCAAGACCAAGGAGGTAAAGAGAAAGGAGGGAAGAAAATGTGCCTAGAAGTGGTATGTCTGAGAAAACCAAAAACAATCTTCGGGAAAGGGACCACCTCTGGCTCTCATTGCTAAGGCAGAGGTTGGCACTGCGGACCTCCCAGGTACATAACTTTAAGGTAGTTACTGCTACTATATGAAGTATAAATATGTCCGTAAAGCTCTTTAGGGGGTCTACAGTTGGCTTTGCTTTTGCTCAAGGTTCTCATTTGACAGGAATGTATACAGCATAAGGCATTTGACTGATATCTATCTATATATCTACACATTACCTCCCTATTAACAGTTCTGTCACCAGACCAAATTTGGTCAATATGTTAGCTTGCACAAAACCCAACTCAGTTGCCTGACACGAACATACTAATTTTGTGATTCATTAAGCTCTATAAATATACTTCTCATATTAAATTTACTATGCATCTTATCAGCACCAATAAATATTTTCATCTGCCACTTCTAAATTTTTAAATAATAAAGTACTGCAGTCAGAACATGAAAGACATGGTATTTATATCTCTGAGAACAGCTTATTCAATTATTTTAGAAGGTATTTACAATTCCTGAAAGAACTACAGTAGAGTTAACTGGCTGACAATGGAAATCTGTTTCATGATTTCTCAGGTATGACTCCCTACTCTCAGAACTAAAAGGAAAATATTGATACGCTCCAAGAACAGCAGACCTCTTCAATCTTCTCTTCCAGGCAAAGACTGTGAGGGCATACACTTTCTAAAAAGATATATGGATTTTGCAGTATTCTAATGGAAAAAAATATAAAAGCTGAATTTCTTTTCAAAGCATGCTAAATGTCTTTTCACACAAATCATCTATGCTTTCCAAGAGACCATCACCATTAGAAATTTAAATTTGTATAAGCTAATGATAAATATAGATCATTACGTTTTCTTATTTTTAAGGTCATTTCTTAACGTTAGCTACTAACAAAAGGTATGTCAATCCAAATTTATAGTTGGCTGATTAAAATTTCATTTCAATTTGGGTGATTATAGGTACACAAGAGTTACTTATTTTTACTTGCAACTTCCTATACAGTTTCATTATGAGTTGGCCAATATCTATACATATAAACGTCCAGTATGTAATTTTAGATGTACTAATAGGTAAAGAAAAAAGTACATGTTTTTCAAAAGCACAATATTCCTCTTTATACTGTACATTATATATTATCTAGTTACACTAGTATTTTAAAAACATATGCATTCTAATATAAGTGTACTAGAAAAGGTATCTGTGGAATTATTGCAAATCCTCTACCCTTTTTGCTCACCAAAATCTTAGGGTAAAACAGAATACATGCCTGTGTGGTCAAAAGTTCCATCTTGGAGCATTTTAACAACAACCAATAATCACATCAGTACCGGGAAAAGAAACGGGAAAAGCTAATATGGGAAAAAAATGAATCTTTCCTTTAAAATAAGGTAGGTAGTTGGGTGTTTTATTTTAGTGGTGTTTTTATTTTGTTTTTGGTGAAGAGAAAAACAGAAAACATTAGAGAGCTACTTCTAAGAAAACACTGCCCTTTTTCGGTTGTTTTTGGTTTTTTGTTGTTCAATTCTATGTTGTATTAAAAGAATCCTGCAGCACATGTAAAAGGCAGTATTTATTACTATTTAAGCTATTATGTATTTGAAAAAGAAAATTTACATAGAATATAAGGTGTATCAACTTTTGTAAACCCGAAGAATTAAATTCAGATTTGGTTAGTACTGCTTAAGAGTGAAAAATTTAAATAAACATCTGAAATTTCCCATAAATTAAAATCTATAACACTGTCAGTACTAAAAAAAAATATGTACAATTATTTTATCTCAATCACCGCCTTTTGGGTTTAATAATAAAAGCATTTAAAGAAATCCCTGTGGAAAGCTAATTTGAAAGTAAACATGCTTTAAAACTTAAATATAGATCTTGTATTAGTCCCACAACAGGATCAAGATCACTATTAAAATAAAGCCTGGGGCACATTATGATGCCTAAGATTGGTGGGTGGATTTTAATTGACTTGAAGACTGTCATAGTTCTATTATCAGAAAACCTGTAACGCATTTCCAGCATGGAGGACCCATCTGTGCCCACCATCCATCTGTTTAGACGTGATTGGCAAAGTGGTAGGGAACTCGCAGTGGTTGCCTCTGCCTGAAAGGAATAAACCACAGGATCTTCCAACGAGTGCCAAAAACTTCTGAGAAGGTCTGCTGCCATGGCTTTCGGGGCCTCGATCTACAGAAGACAGCATTATTAGTGAAAGACAGCACTCCCATGGTGCACTTCAGTCAGCTAAAACAATACAGGTTGGCTGGGGATCCATTACTGGACTCTGATGAATTGTGTCCCAGCATCACAAATACAGCTTTTCTTTCATTATGGCATGCAGCTGAGTTTTAACTCTGGCTAGCAGATATTGTATCTGTGTCGTCAATCAACCTAGGGCAACTTTTGAAGCAGAGGAGAGTCTCAGGATTAACAGGATGTATGTCAACAACACAGTAGCAAATCTCTTTTGATGTACTTTCAGGACAAATAATTTAACTTACTTTAGTTAGACAAGTAACAAGAATGATCAGTACTTATTTTGTTTGAAAACTATCATGGCTTGAAGACCCCTACTGTAAGGCTGGATTATGCTTGTCTAGCTCAGGCTTTAGACAAGGCACCAAGAAAAAGCCATCATTATGTTATCTTTCCACTACATGCACACATTTTTCAAATGTGGCCAGCTGTTTCCATTTTTAAGTAAGAGCACCACAGACTTCGCTTTTATACTTACATTTCTTCACAACAGTTTGACATCTTTTCAATAGATGTTGTATCCTATTAAAAATTAAAGAAAAATTATACTCATATGTAACAAAGTTATCAAGGCTTTCTTCCATATCTACTTTATGAGCCTTTTCATCATATTCAGAGAATATTCTAAAGATTTAAACAGTTTACATATGGGTACTAAGAATTTTAAATTAACTGCATACATTGCTGAAATCCCCTTGACAAAAACAGAATGAACATTACACTGTGCCAAATTAAAAAAAATTATTCAATTACAAAACCTCACAAAAATTGTAGGAGTCTCACTTTATTAAAACATAACCCTTTATTATATTTGCTTTCTTTGATAATTCTTTTAAAAGTCTAGGATTTATTTTTAATTCAACTGTCAGTGAATAGGCACTAAAAATTAAATACCAAAATGATGAATTAAAGGCACTCATGAACAGAGAACTGCCAAGGGCCAAAGACTGCTACTGGTTCTGGATTTCTATAAACAAATACAAATCCAACAAGACAATCTATGCATTTGCCACATATTACAGCATCTATTATTCTGAAAAGTAAACTTTTTTTAACACAAAAAATCAGTATCTTCATAATAATACAATTTTTATGTGTTTTCTATAGAGCTCTAACACAAATATGTGAGCAAAACAATTTAACGAAGACAAGACCGTTTCCAGACATGCTGGTTTCATTTACATTAAGAGAAAAATCCATCCTCAATCCACTGAGAAACTGTGACAGTACGTAATATCCAAATAATCAAAACACAAATCACACAATCTTATTGTAGACATATATTTATATCTTAAGCATACTTCAAAGCACTACAAAGAAAATATGTTCTTTTAAATATATGAAAAAAGTTAGGCAAGTTTTCCTCCTCTCATCCTCTAATAGCTTGCTCACATATGGCAGGTAGACTATGCTGTTATTAAGCAGTACTATTCATGCAAATATCTGGGGTGACAACTCCAATGCCAAGAACTTCTTTGGTTGTAAAACTCTCTTCCAATGATACTAATAAAAAACACTCTGACTTTAAAAATCTCTTTATAGAAGTTACATCAATGGCTCACAATATTAAGTTCTTAATGTATGAACAGCTGAATAACTATAGTTAGCCCACAAATGAGAAAATTATTTTTTTAGATGACAAAGTCACCAATAGCAGTGTTTCATTTCCATATTTCCTGGGAATTTGTGACAAGATTGTAGATTAGCCACATATTCCATATTCATTAGTTTTCCTATCGTGCTTTGAAATTCATGGTATCCAATGACAAGTCTATTTATAATTAACTTTTCTCAGCTCTGTTGCATAATTTCCTCAAAATAACATTTTACTTTGTGACAACACAGTCTGCAAATACATGAGAACGTTGATTATGGGCTTAGCGGAAAGTGGGGCCTCTGCTTCCACATCTGTATGGAAAGTGAATGAAGTAATTTTAACGGGTTCTTAGCAATGATGCGTGACAGGTTGCCCCAAAACAATGAAGGCAGCTTGTGCAATCAGGCAAAAGAAAAACAGGACAGAGGTCTGTAAGTGCTCCTAGGATAGGTAAGTAAATGGCCTTAAATCACACTTGCAGAGAATACTTACAAACCATTTTGAGATAGGAAAGGTGACTACAAAGTCACTACTATACCTAGTATTATTGGAAATTTTTACTATGCATAAATTTACAATTTGATTGAAACTTTGAGGAACTTATTTGTGGCAGTAAAAGAATCAACTTCAAAGTCTTTGGATTCAGACATTACGGAAAGCTTTTATTTCCAAGTGCTTTTGACATCTTTCCAGGATCTGGTTCAAGAAATAAGTAGAATAGTACCTGTTAAGTCATCATAAACAGATGGTTATTCTATCAAAGAATGTGATGTTTACCATGATGTTTTGAACAGGATTTGTGAGGCTAGCCAAAAAAAGGTGTTTTTCCCCTCTATGAATAGCAAATGATTATTTCTCTGAAACTCAGCTATCAAGAATACTATTGTAAGAAAAAAAAATACAATTTGTATTTGAATAGCCAAACATGGCACAAACATGTCCTTGTGTTGCTCAGAGCAACACAAGTTATCACGCTACCACATTTGTAAACACGATAGGAACTGCAAACCAGAGGAGGAGAAAGGGTTCTACTGGCAGAGAACACTGAAAACCACAACTTAGTGCCAAAAGTGCCAACTGAGCCTTCATATACTGTTTGTTTTGTGCTGCAAAGCAGGGAAATGTGGGATATTTTAGAAAAAAAATAAAAATAAATAAAATAGATGTTGGTGCAGATTATTTCATTCAGCATGAAAGATTCAATACCTTTAGTACCGTCAGGAAAGATACTCAGAAAACTTTTTCTTCAAAGAATGATAAGAAAAAAGGTTTTTTTTGTTGTTGTTTGTTTGTTTTTAGAAACAGGTTTTTATAGTATGTTGTCTACAATTGGGATAGCTTACCTCCAGAAAAATATGTCATGATGATGGGTCTAGTGACTAAAATATCTAGGACTTCCATCTATCTGCATAACTAAGAGATCTATGAAAATCCCTTCCTATTTTATTTTTAGAGGGGGGGGAGAGAAAATGAGCATGTGCAAGGGAAGGGGGTGGGACAGAAGAAAAGGGAGAGAGAGAATCTGAAGCAGACTCCACGCCCACTACAGAGCCCAATATGGGGCTTGATCTCACAGCTCTGAGATCATGACCTGAGCCAAACTCAAGAGCTTGATGCTTAACCAACTGACTCACCCAGGTGCCTGTTTTCTTATTTTAAGAACTGAAAGTTTATTTTCTAAAAAAGTAAACTGGAAACAACAAGATCTATAGGGGCTTTGCCTATTTTATCAACAGTTACTTTATCTTCTCCTGCTTGTTGGTCTTACCCTAAGAAATGATCTTTCAGGGCACCTGGGTGGCTCAGTGGTTGAGTGCCTGCCTTCGACTTGGGGCATGGTCCCGGGTTTAGATATCAAGTCCTACATCGGGCTCCCTGCAAGGAGCCTGCTTCTCTCTGCCTATGTCACTGCCTCTCTCTGTGTGTCTCTCATGAATAAATAAATAAATAAATAAATAAATAAATAAATAAATAAATAAATAAATAAATAAATAAATCTTACCAAAAAAAAAAAATCTTTTTGAATCTTAGATTCAGTCTAAGAAAGTAAGTTAAAACATTCTAACTGGTAAGATTATATTTGGAAATGGAGGAGAGCGTAGTAGTTCCTAACAGAAAGTGAGAGGGAAGTATTTATTGTTTGTTAGAAAAATTAGGAGGATTGGGGGCCAAAGAGCAAGAATTTATCACCAGACATTTCCTGGTTAACAGTCCTAAGAATCAGGCCCTCCTGGAATAGACAGCTTGATGATACAATCCATCCAACTGACTCATCCTGTTTTGAGTTCATTTTCACCAAGCAACACTGCCATATATGTTGTTGTAGAGGAGAAAGAATGTGCTGGAGAGTACTTTGGCACACCTGACAACTGCATATCAGGGAATAAACAGTCAATCTGGTTTATATGACTATCACTTTTGAAGTAATAAACATCATTGCCTCTGGGCCTAACTCTGGAAACGTGTTCAAAGTGGAGTTTCTAGACCTGCCAAACTGAAAACTTTTTTTTTTTAATTTTTATTTACTTATGATAGGCACACAGTGAGAGAGAGAGAGAGGCAGAGACACAGGCAGAGGGAGAAGCAGGCTCCATGCACCGGGAGCCCAACGTGGGATTCGATCCCAGGTCTCCAGGATCGCGCCCTGGGCCAAAGGCAGGCGCTAAACCGCTGCGCCACCCAGGGATCCCCAAACTGAAAACTTGATGCAATTTAAGAGCATTCTATCACAAAGACATTAAGACAGCTCACTCTAACCTCAATGATTGCCTACACTCTTTATTCTTACTTTATTGCACATACCAAATTCAATGATTCTGTTGATTTAATCTGGAGTTTAAAAAACTGCTCAGGAACTTTATTCATGAGAGATTATATATCTGTTTTATCTATCACTAATGTCTATCAATTCTAAAATAGACTTTTGCTTGACTTCCTAGCACCTCTTATCCATGTATGGACAGCAGCTTTATATCTTCCATGGCACCTAGAAGCAAAACTTTTCCAAGTGGATACTCAATATATGCCTGCAGCACTAAACTCACTGAACATGGACAAAAATAGCATGATTCCTTAATTTTTTTCATTGCAATCCAAAGAGAGAGTATTTCCTGTTAATCATAGCTCTCTCTCCTCCTTTGAAGCCAGAACTCACTATATTCCTCATTTGAAATAATCAGTTCTTTAAGCATCTATCTCCAACAGAGGACCTATATCTTTTATTAAAGCTGTATCTTTTATTACAGATCTGAAGTTCATATAAACATTTAATCAGTCATGGAATTAAAGTGAGAAGGCAGCAGATCTTACATGTATAGTCACTGAAAATCTCTTTCCAAAATAATTCCTGTACTTCTCTTCATCAAGCCACTTTCTGGCTGTGTTAAAACCTTAGGAAAGTTACTAAAACTCTGTATCTCAATTTTCAAATAATTCCTTACTCTTAGCTTTTGTAGGCATTAAATGAGTTAATATATGTTAGAGCCCTTAATAACCCCTCAATAAATGGTAGTACTACTTTTTACTAGATATTGCCTATTACACTTTTTATTGATATTTATTGATATACTATACTCTTTTTGAGAGGGCTGAGAGATAATAATATCTCAATTACATTAGAATATAATTTTTAAAAAGTGGATTGTATAATGAAAGATAAAATAACAGGGACTATGGGAGACTACACAGATAATCCAATGTCCACAAGGGGCTTACAATCCAGTTGAAAAAATAAATACTATGTACATAAACCATGATTCATTTACTCATTTATCCATCTATCAAAAATATACTAAGGACGTATTATACCACAGTCCTTAGAATCAAGGAGCTTATAGTCAGTGAAAGCAGTCAAGTAGACAAGATAATTTGTAATACACAGAGAATGACAGAGAGAATAGTTACATAAAATAACATATTGTTTAAG